GCAGCTACTTGTATTCTTCAATTTAATTATAGGTATAATCACATATTGTTAGGTAAAGTTGTGTACAGCCCAGGAGCGGTATTCAGTAATCGCTATCGTTATTATTCGGTATAGCTCTGATAGCGAATGTCGTCGGTTGCCGTATCGACAACTTACTTATTATGCCATTCTGTGTCCACGATAACGAAAATCGTTACTGCAACCGAAGCGTACCGACAGCGATATGACGTCAGCGTTTCATCATCGAAAAAAAGACGAATTGGGAACATCCCGACGGGAGGCTATGTTTCTCGACCAATCACGATCGATCGTTCAAATAGTTATTTAGAAATACTCTTATCTATGGTTATTTAGGTTGTGCCTTTGACTATGGTTTGATTTTTTTCCATCCTCTAAGGTTTGTGCAAAATTTGTGACGTTCAAGGGAAACGTACTGTTATGATTAAATAATACATCACAACAAGTGAGCAAATTGCAGTTATGTAAATATTTCCTTTATTTTTTTCCATCCTCTAAGGTAAATAACTGATGAGATGAGAATTTACTAGGGAACGTCGCTCACCTTAACCTCTACAATCGCGGCATCACGACATAAACAAGAGTAGATTTAGTATAGGCACCTATATTCTAAATCTATGTAAAGAAGTGATTACAACACACAGCCAAGAACAAGTCACTTTCAATTACGAAACATTTTGTGAGTTAATTTTTTCTACTTAATGCGATTAAAACACAAATATCTAACAGTAAAATGTAAGAAGAAAGTGCGTCGTTAAGAATACCGACGTAAATAGGGTGCTTTCGAAGAGCCGATAAAAAATATCGAATCTTAACGAAATTTAACCACGTATCGAACCGAATTGTCGTTATGATCGGTTAAAGTCGTGTACATAATAGCATTTGTGGACAAAATCGATACCGTCGGTAAAACCGCATGACGAACATCGAATAGCGAGTCTCAACGATTACAGAATACCGCTCCAGGAGCGGTATTCAGTAATCGCTATCGTTATGATTCGGTATGGCTCTGACAGCGAAAGTCGTCTGTTGCCGTATCGACAACTTATCGATTTTGATATTCTGTAAATCCACGATAACGAAAATCGTTACTGCAACGACACGTACCGACAGCGATGGGACGTCAGCGTTTCATTATCGAAAAATATACGAAATGGGAACGTCCCGACTGGAGGCTATGTTTCTTGACCAATCACGATCGAGCGTTATATACAAACACTCATAACTATGGTTATTTAGTTTATGCAAAATTTATCACATTCAAGGGAAACGTACTGTTTGTGTTTATTTTTTCTGAATACTTCTACAAAATGATGGATAAAATAATACATCACGACAAGTAAGCAAATTGGAGTTCTGTAAATATTTACTTTATATTTTTCCGTCCTCTAAGGTAAGTATTTGATGAGATGTGAATTTACTAGGGAAACGTCGCTCACCTTAACCTCAACAATCGCGGCATCACGACACAAACAAGTGATTACAAGACATAGCCAAGAACAAGTTCCTTTCAATTACGAAACATTTTGCCTTACCTTAAGGCAAAAAGTGAATTTTTTTCACTTAATCCGATCAAAGCACAAATATCTAACAGTGAAATGTAAGAAGAAAGCGCGTCGTTAAGAATACCGACGTAAACAGGGTGCCCTCGAAGAGCCGATAAAAATATCGAATCTTAACGAAACTTAACGAACGTATCGAACCGAATTGTTGTTATGAGCGGTTAAAGTAGTGTAAAGAATAGCATTTGTCGACAAAATCGATACCGTCGGTAAAACCGCATAACGAATATCGAATAGCGAGTCTCAATGATTACAGAATACCGCTCCTGACCCCCCTAAACATAATAATACTTACTAAAAGTAATGATGTATCATTGATACAAATATGATTCCGCTGAAAAGGAAGCGATCACGGCTTTTAAATAAATTACTTTGATGACAGGCATTTATTTCTGCCAATGATAAGTGAAAATGGTAGAGTCGGAATATAACAAATCATTATAAACTTAGTACAAAATAAAAATTGCATCGATCAAAACATTTCATTACAAGTAGGTATTAAGTCCGACAATAATACATAAAGCGCACAATAAGTTTCCGGAATAGGCCACTTACTTATACAATATTTAAAAGGTAATTACAACATTTGAAAATGGAACTCTTTGGCTGTAGAATACAGTTTGTTTCATCTGACTGTCATTTCTTTTTACATTGTGGCGTGATTTTAGAAATTGGTTGTCTACATCACCATATATGTAACTCGTGAAAATTTTCGTGGTATGATTTTCTACGACTTTAAGTGTAGTTTAACAGCTCAGTGGAGCTTCACTCGGCTTCAAACTGCTTTTGGCGATGAAGCACCATGCAAGACGACTATTTATAGCTGGTTTGCAGAATTCAAACGAACGAAAGGGTATGAAAAATACGTTTCAGAGATTGTCACGGAGGAGTGGCATAAATGTTTTCAAAATTGGTTCATTCGTATGAAAAAGTGTATTAACGCTAACGGAGAATCTTTTGGGAAACAATAAACAAATTTTGACCATTTATAGTACATTTTTCTTATTCATTCCGGATACTTATAGTGAGCCCCACGTAATACGTACGAATACAAATTTATTGTGTGTAATTATTTACTAGCTGCGGTAGAAACTTAACTGTAAATTCACTTACGTGTTTACATTTAAGAAATAAAACTTTACGCAAAGCAAATGCAATACATATTTTATTCCTCCATCTTCGAAGTATAGATAGTCGTTTTTAAAACCTTTGTGGCTAACTAAAAATACCCAAATACCCGTATTTTAGGTATCTATCAACTAACCCATAAATTAAATCCCACTATTGGACAAACCTCTCCTAATTAAGGTTTTAGGAAAATAAGCTAGTCCTACTAAGGCAGGAGTAGACAAACTGTTTTTCTTAACGGGCCATAAGAAATTTCACATTTTATTTGAATATTTTTAGTTGTTACTATTATGTACCTATTGTGTTACAGTGTTATGTTATTTAGTGTATGTGTTAACATATTGCACTGTCCTTTCATACACCCCACTAACGACGCCGACTGTTGTTTGGACGTGGAAAGATTGAAATTTTACGTTCAGCAATAGCATAATCCTGAGTTTCACATGTTGAGAGTTACAATACTATTGTAATAGCTATCACTAGCACTAGCACTAGTGTGATATATACCTACTTATGTTATCATGTTCGTCGATATCGACGAAGTTATCCAAATTTGTATGTATAAACTCCTACTTTAGAAGATACGTTGGCGAGCCGGATTAACACCTTTCGTAGGCCGGGGTTGGCCTGCAGGCCACAAGTTAGTATAAAATTAAGTATGATAACTCCATACTGTTCACACTGTTTGTACAGTACTAGAGCGGCTTGTATATGTGCGCAAATCTCGCGTCGCAAATTCTCTGGTTGTCCCAACGCGCCTTTCATTATTGTGCAAATGTCTACGTCCATACTCAGCGCGCGGCGGTCACTTTACTTTGTACGGGCTTACCATACTTCTCTTATTTTGCTATGACTTACTAAACTGGTCCAATGTGGATTAAATAGTTTTTTGAACCTTCTCCGATATGAACGATTTAGGATGATGATGTCCTCCACAGTGCTTGATGCATGAAGGGTAAGGTAATGCAGATCTCACTATGGTAATCGAATCCAGGACATTGGAAGCAAACGTTCTCTTGATTATGCTTTCACTTTTGTCACTAAAATTACTGTCTGAAAAAGATGAAAAAGGATATTTCGAAGACATCATAGAATTAATATTGTGTTCTTAGATATTTCACGGTTATTACCTACACATAGGAAATGAAACAATTTTTTAACCGACTCAAAAAAGGAGGTCAATTCTTTATTTTTTTTTTGTATGAATGTTACGCGATAACTCATCATTAATATCGGTTCGGTATTTGTGAACCGATTTTGATATTTTTTTTGTTTGTTGGAAAGAAGGTACGTACATACCTCAGTAGTGGTTACATTTAAATTTCAAGAAAATATTCCACCTCTAAGGGTGGCAAACCAGGTAATGAATGACTTCTTCGGATCTAAATCGCATATGTATATCTGTTTTTTTTTCAAACTAACGTTTCAGGCCCTTGATGCCTGCCTGTTAGCCGTGACCATGGAACTTGACCCCGACTTGAAAATAGTTTTATTTCCTATTATAGGATTTAGTCCAATTCCTATAACCCTGGTGTTATAAAATATTTTAAAGATGCCAACTAGAAACCAACACATTCTTTTCAACTAGGACGAGACCTTTGCATTATTTCCGGTATACGTAACTATACCGGAAGGAAGGCAATTTACAATAATTAACGAAGTTATAGATGGCTGTCTCGCAAATGCATACCTTTCCACGTAAATGTTTGACTTTTCTACGACAATTCGTATTCAGCAGGGTAGTTATCGTTCCAGGAAAATCAAAATCGATCAAAGCCATCTAGCGTCTTTAGAAATAACTACATAAAAGCTCGTAGTTTGTATTTGCAGTGTAAATATCGGATTTATTTATTGTTGTTACTTTTATTTATGCTATAATTGTTATCTGCTACAACAATCTTATATTACAGTTCCGTCCCTCAGCTCACAGTATGCGAATCCACTCACCGTGATAGACGTGCGAGTGTTGCTCGTGTTTTCAAGAGCAATTATTAAAATTAGTACTAGTGTTAAAAATAAACGTAAACTTTTGTAATACATTCTAATTTCATGTCGGAAATAAACCTTGTTCTACGAGGTCATATTTTTTCATAGGCATTTTGGGAACCGATCCTTTGTCACAAATTGTCAAAAATTAAAACGTGATTTGACATTTCATAATGGAGTGAAGGTGCAATGCGGTGTTTTCGTAAAAATGAGTTTTACAGAATTATGATTCAAACGCATCCAAAATTTTATCAAAAATGATAGTGAACGTGTGTTGATAGTGCTCGTAACAAATAAATTACTTCCATCCCTGCAGTCCTTAGCAGCCGGTTGTCTTAGTCAATTTTCCGTGATGTTCCAGCGAATCAATTTCTATTTAATATGTTTCGGGTTCGGTGTCAGTGTTCTTCTTATACTAGCTGGAAGTCGATTTACAGATAACGCAGTTTATCGCCCAGGCTTTGAAAGCCACAGGAACATCAAGAACTACATGAAAACGGAAAAGGAAGAACTACAAGTTATACCTACGATTCTTTCCAGTGGATTGCCAGACATAGACAAAATACTGAACAAAACTAAAGAGAAAATAAAATTAGAATTGGCAAATTATAACTTCACATATTCAGGTGTTCGTCGATTAGAAGACTTGACAATAGAGACAGGAGGACAGCCGATACGAAGTATAATTATTTCTACTTGGAGGTCCGGAACCACTTTTCTCGGCGATATATTGAATGCTATGCCAGGCAACTTCTACCACTACGAGCCTTTACTGCGTTACGATATTATTCAAATCAGAGGTCCACCTCATTCAAAGTCAGCAATGAGCACGATCAAAAACATGTTAAAATGCAACTTTGATAATATGGAAGAATATTTTGACTATGGGAAAGAGCACTTGAACCAATTCACCCATAATATACGACTATGGGACCATTGTAAATATAAGAAAGAGCTGTGTTTTGATAGCAACTTCACTTCGAGATTATGTAAGCTGTTCCCCTTCCAGAGCATGAAAGTTGTCCGCATCAGGTTAAGACTCATTCGTGAATTATTAGAGGATAAAGAGTAAGTTTTGTGGTTTTCAATATATTATGCCTGTTACAGTTTCTTGATACCTTTAACTATATGTTCTAGAGAATGAGTGAAGTGGATTGTTCAAAATCAACTTATTTACATTTTCCGATATATTACAGATTGTTATAGTGTATAAAATTGACTGAGTACTATCATTGGCATACCGATGTGGCTAATCTACAAAGATAAGGGTGTATTAGAAGCCTGGAAAGATATCAAAAGCAATTAATTTATTGATTCTCAAATTATTGCAAATAAATTTAATCTCAAGATAGAATAGCTAATATCTAACTTTACATTAGATAAATAAATATTAAACATCACATACATTGCTCCAATCCCAAAGTAAGTAATTAAAGTGCTTGTGCATAAAGCACAATGATGGTACCACAAACACCTATACCTGAGATAATAAGAAAAGCTTTTCTACATTGACCCAGCCGGGGATCGAACCAGGGGCTTCAGTGATGACGACACCGCTAAAACCGATGTGCAAGCCACGCAACCACAGAAGCCTTCAAAGGTTACACGTAATTCGAGCCACCTTGCATTTTCTATATGCTTAGCTTAAACTATGCTTGATTGCTCAAAAATGCTATTATGCAACTTTGAAACTTGTTATACCAAATGTCATTTCCTTAAGTCCTTATTGAAAATTTGAAATAAAAATATTGGAGAAAACTTTTTCTTCTATGCTAACTATATTTTTATATTAAATTTTATTAGGATAAAAATGCTAGGTAGCTCGAATTATGAGTCCGGGAGTGTATTTAAATGCACTATGTGCCCTGTGTCTTGTCAACTTTTACCATAATTAATGGTATTATAAATACGTTGCTGGAGGAGCATGCAGGCAAACAGTAAAAGATAGGGAGAAATGGAAATCTCTGGAATGGGAATCTCATGCCTATGTTTTAGGACAAGCTAAAGGTACAGAGTCAACAAATTTGAGTAATAATAAATAAGTAATATTTCATAAATATGCATGTCATACAATGTGTTAGATAAGTTAGTGAGTAAGTTGTCAGCAATAAAGCCTATAAACAAACAAAAATGTGGCAAAACCTGCTGCTGACTCATATTTATGTCTACCTAAAGAAGCCCACTTTGCAGATTGACATTTCAATGCCTTACTTTCTCAAACTCCTATCTAATAAAGAGTCCATTATTCAGGAGATGACATAACTTTCTATTTATTTTAAATTTCTTATCAAGAGTGTTAATTTGGATGCTAAACTTTAAGAATAGGTAAAAGCTAGTGTGTGAATATGATGTGAAATCAGCCTGCAAAATTTGTATATATAATCCATTTTTTTTCCGTTTCAGTAACTTTGTGCTTTAAGATACGAGTTAGAGAAAGTAAGGCAATGATTTGTAATTTATTTAGTTTTTGAATTAATAATTTAATGTGCAAATTTCCTTTAAAAAACACCCTAGTGATTGATGATTGAGAAACCCTGCCTGTTATTTCTCAAACAAAACTTTCGGCCAATTTTAGAGCGTCGGAGGTAATACTACAAGCAAACAAGTGCACTCAAATGCAATATTGAGTTGTGGCATTATGGTCTCACAGAAACAAAAGTCGACAACACTAGCTTATTTTTACAAATTCACAGATTTTTATAAAACACACAATCATGTCATGTCCGTACACAGAATAGGCCTATAAAAAAAATCGATTCTCATGAATATGCAGTTGAAACATTATCGCCGTGATGGTGTCGATGATTTTATAACACATTATTTGAGTAAAGTATCATTTCGTAATGAATGTGACTGCTTGATCTAAACAATTTAGTTAGACATTGAATTTTTTTTCAAAATTTCATTAAACCTTTTTTTTTAATAAAATCCAGCACCTCCAAATCTGTTCACGTAACTTTCACATTACGCAAAGGAGAATGCACATCCGTGACCATGGGCGGTGAACCTCTTCCGTTATAAGACTATGTCTAATATCTGGGCATGCATCTTGATAAGCGGTTAACCTGGGCACACGCAATTTTAACGCCCTATAGTTGCGGACGCTTTTTAGCGCGAACCAGACGTCCATTTATTGGTAGGTCAATGGCTTTTGTAAATCGAGAATATACTTTTGTAATTTTTGTGTATTTTTTTTTATAATATTAAGTGACGGAACGAACAAGTCGTACGTACGATGGTAAAGCTACACGCCTGTCCATAACAGTTGCAGTGCCACTCAGAGGTTTAAATCGCAAAGATCTGAGGGGCACTGTCACTGCGCCCGTCACCCTGAGACATAAGCTGACAAGTCTCATGTGCCAGCATGTTCACCAGCACCCTTACTCTTCAAAACCGAAATACAGTAATGCTGATATTTCTGCTTGGCGGCAGAAATAGGTAAGGTGGCAGTACTTTCCTCGACGAACTCTTTCACAAGGAGATCTACTTCTACTAAAATTTGTAAAAATGTATTGGCCTATGTGTTATGTAATTTTTACAAGTTTTTATTCTAGGTACAGTACAGTACGATGAGAATGTGTGCGTGTGCGTTATAACGAAAAAAACAGCGTCCATGAAGTATTGCATTTTTTTGCCTGTCAGTAATTAAGGAACTTCATAGGCATGTTTATGTAAAATGTTTTCGAATATTTTCTATATAATCGGTAAATGAAATCAATCTATGGAATGTAATTCCATACTTGGCTAGACTGGATGTAGCGGAGACTTTGCAAGTTTCTATGGCGCAAGAAAGAAGAAGGAGGATGTAGCAGAGATTTTTTTTTGCAAGTTTCTATGACGCAAGATGACATACCTATTTCGTAGAGCACTTGATGAGGTGAATTCAATGATGGAAATGAAAAATATTGATTCAAAAGTAGTGTTTATTGTGCGATGGTATTTTTTTACTTGTACCTTGACAGAGTGGACTGCCTATCGATGACGTCACCTGTCCTACATGCTCTTAGCTCACTAACTATTAATGTAATTAATAAATTCAACAAACAATTTCCCTATTTTGAATTTGTAGGGATAATTAACAAAAACTATTAAGTAATGTATGTACAAGTTCTATTGTTTACAATGTACAAGGAAGACGGCTATTATGTTTTTATAGATGCACATAGCTCAATGATGATGCAAGGTTATGTAATGAGCCTACTGCTAGTAGCATTCAAACTTATAAGTAAGAAATTTGCGTCTTGACCTTCAAGAATTTTGTGTATAATTTAGCTTTAAACAACAAGCAAGGTGGACGGCACAGGTTTAAGTAACTGACTAATCTTGTGTATGTTCATGGTTCAACAAAGAATGTTGATATTGTGGCATTGGTTTATGGTATTCATTTGTAGTAGCTACTATGAACAAACTTGCATAGAAAGCTACTACCTATTCTGTGCTCCTTATCATAACTAACGTAATCAATATTTTTACCGAAATTAACGCTACGCAACACATTCATACTCCCGCACTAGGGAAACCCTGTATCGCGAGTGTCATGGACACATCCATAGACAACCACAAATTACACCCAAAATCACGAGTGATATAAAGCAACATATTTTTCCCGGGAATCAAACCCAGGACCTCTGCGTGGCAGTCCAGCATGGTAGCCGTGGCCGAACGCACGGAAGCAAAGTCGAATAATCTTTATTTCATAAGTAAACAAATTACACTTGAAATCGTCATACTGATTAAACTCTACTGCTCATTTGTATAGCAGATTCCAATGAGAAGAATGAGCAAGAAACTCTAGGGGTTGCTGTTTGTAAATATGTATACATTTGAATACGTTTATCATTACAATATTTAATTTAAACACCTTAGATCGAGAATACCTGAAAGAGCTAAATGAGTACGCAGAAGTTATATGATAAGGTTATTTAACCTTTAGTATAAAGTTTTTGTTTCACAATAAGTAGCTTTAAGTGGCAAATATTGAGTATCAATCGGAATCTTATTATAGAAGCGTATACGTTGCCCCACAAATGAATTTCAACTTTATGAAGACGACTGTCAAGAACAGCTGTTTATTTTTATTTCTCGTATTAATGATATGTCTGTCACTATTTTTCATAAAAAAATTAATATTTTCTTAACATAAACAACATTTTCATAAATGCACTGTGACGTTAGTGTAAGAATGTTAGTCTCTTTAAACTTATCACTCAAAGGCACTCTGGGGCCCAGATTAAGTTATTAACATGTCTGCGATTTTCGAAATGAGATTTACAACCCCCTGTAATTGATTTTTTATATCTTATTTAGTTTCAGTTTTTGTCAAGGACATTCAGCGTAATTAACATTTTTACTAGCAAAAAAAATTTAGGTGCCAATATTTTCAAAGTCCCGATATGCTAATGCGTCAGTTATGGCATGAAGAGCAGTATTATACAAGTCTATTTTTCTTAAGTATCTTTTTTTATCTTTTTAATTAAAATTTTAATATATTCCTTACAGATTGAAATTCAAAGTGATACTCATGATAAGGGATCCAAGAGGAGTGATGGAGTCGAGGCAACATCGAGATTTTTGCCCACCAAATCCAGACTGCTGGAATCCGGAGCTCATGTGTGCTGATATGATTAGCGACTATGTGTCTGCTAGTCGACTACTGAAGGCATACCCTGACCGTCTAACGTATGTTATATAATAAATGGTTTCAAGTTTAGGGCGCTTTCAAATTTGCGCTGCAGTGGTGCCACAGTCCTGACAAGCGTTCGCCGCTTTTGCTGTCACAATTAGTAAAAAAATGACTGAAGCACAACAGACAGGTAATTTGTAGGCGCCCTTATTCCGGGCTCATCGAGCCTTTCACTTGCGTTTTTCTGTTGCTTGCGTGACTCGGTTCGCGCATACGCAAAGATCTGTCGCGTACGCGCAGGTAGGACTGTTTACGAGTCGCTCGCTTGTGCCGGCCACGAAAAGCAAACGCGTTGGATTTGTTTGCGTTGCGTGAGTTTGATGTCTAGCAAGCTTAATATTTCCACGCAAGCAACAAGGAACGTTTGCGGAGGACAGCACCACTGGCCAATCACAGAGTAGCAGCGTCCACTACAACCAATTCAAAGGAAAGGCGCCGCGCATGCACGCAAATCTCTCCGCAACGCAAAGCGGAAGACTCGTGAACGCCTTTGCGCGGTAGGCAGATTTCTACGCCGTGTACCTAGCCAACGCAACCAAGCGAAAAACGCAAGTGAAAAACTCGTGAACCCGGTATTAAAGCGATGCCATACGGGCGTGCCGTCGTCGCACCGCAACACCCCTCCCCCTTCGTCTCCTGGCCTCTTACCCGATGTGCACGCATTCCATCACCGCGCGCTGTTTCAACGCACCGTGTGGCATGTCGTTCTCAATCATATGTAGTACAACGCAGTTGCGACGACGCAACGTCCGTGTGGCATCTCCCTTAATATTTAACAACATTACATCTCACCTCCACCTATTTTTGTATAATACTTGAAAAAACTATTACGGAAATCTAAAACTTTTTAATGTAAAAATTAGCTTATGTTGTCCAAACACTTGACAAACATTTCATAATCAGATCATATTCTCATAATAAATATTAGATGATCTCAGATCCCGAAGTAACTAAAGCCCTTGTGATAAGGAAATCTGAAACAATAACGGTATAACAAACACCCAGACCCGAGACAATATAGAAAAGTTAGTTTTCTACAGCTTTTGTACATTGACAAGGCCGGGGATCGAGCCCAGGAGCTCAGAGATGGCAACACCATGAAAACCGGTGTGCCGGCAATTCGACCACAGACGTCGTCAATATAAATAAATATAATTGTATGATACTTGGCAAATAAAGGTTTAGCGACCCCGTTAGTCCATTTATCTAACTTTATGACTTCCTTTTTAAGGAAAACCTGAAACTGAAGGAAAACTGGCCTGTTAGATGAAGTTCAGAAAATATTATTTTATATTTAAGGCATGTTCTGTCACCATAAAGTTCACAGTATTATTATCTTGAAATACACACATCAAAAGTGTCTAGGGATCAAGTGAATATTTTTGAAATAAAAATTATTTAAGCAATATTTACCAAATCCAGTCTTCCAGGACGACTTCTTACTTTAATGCTTATGTTTTATTTAACCGTTTACCCCTGTATTTAATTAAAATAAACTAAAATTGATGTTTTTGCAAATTGTGGGAAAAAACTCAAATTAACGGCGTCAATTAAATGACAAAAAAATGGCGAAAATGATGATTTTGCTCATTTTTATTGTAAAGATAAGAAAATTAATAATCTGTATTTCCACCATTAACACGAATCACACAATTACAGCGATTTGGCATGCTTAAGATGAGTTCATCAAAATCACTTTGAGGAATGGCCGCCCATGTGTTTTGTAACAAGTCAAAATATTGTTGTAGAGTATGTACGGTATGCATACTCGGCACAGCTCTTCTTTGAAGCATATCCCATGCGTGCTCAATTGGATTGAGGTCTGACGATTGAGCAGGCCACGGCAGAACGTTGATACGAGATTCGGCAAGAATGCGTGTAACGACTCTAGCCGTGTGTGGACGTGCGTTGTCATGCATTAGTTGAAATGAATCACCCAACTGGCCTCGCAAAGGGATGATAACATCTGAAACAATCCTCTCTGCGTAAACTTGAGCATTGAGGTTACCCCTGATCCAAATGAGATCGGTTCTTCCGCCGATCCAAATACCGGCCCATATCATTATTGTTCCCCCACCATATGGATGAACTTCCTGACAATATCTCAAACGTTCACGACGTCCAGATGTTCTCCAAACTCGAGTACGTCTTGTATCCGGTCTCATACCGAAGCGGGATTCATCCGAAAAGCACACATAGCGCCAGTCTTCTTCCTCCCAGTTTCTGTGTTTGCGAGCCCATCGTAAACGGGTCCTGCGATTGCAGGGTGCAATAGGTGGAACTCTGAGCGGCCTTCGGGATCGCAGACCCACTTCACGTAAACGATTTCGGATTGTTTGATCGCTTATTAGCAAGCCTGAGGAGCTGTGGAGCCTCGTAACCAACATCATGGCGGTCATGGTACGATTCCGTCGAGCAGTATTTTGGATATACCGGTCCTGTCTGCGAGTCGTGATGCGAGATCGTCCTCCATGTCGCTCGGCCACGCTGCCCGTCATGCGATAGCGCGTCCAGAGGCGACTTATGACGCTCTGGGTAGTGTTAAGAGTGAAAGCCACAGCACGTTGCCTGGAACCAGCTTCCAACATTCCGACGGCTCGCATCATCACTTCTCGGGTTAAATGATGTCGTCTCTCCATAATAATGTAAATTGTTTCGGTTCCGATGCAGATATTGAAATGATTTTGTCAAAACGCTATAACTCATTTTTATACAAAACCACATTGACAATCGATTTTCTTCTTATTATCGAATTTTAAACAATATTCCTTATTTAAATGTTAAAACTCACTAAAAAGTATCAATAGCGATACAGAAAAGTTAATATAATTAACCCTAATTGCAGCAATACTCTTAAACGTACTTGATCCCTAGACACTTTTGATGTGTGTATTTTAGGGAAAGTGGTAGTAAAATAAATAATAGAATATGTAGTATACATATTTAATAACTGCTCTCTATCCTCTCATTGCCATGACTTTTATCTTTTGCTTTAATAATTGAAACCACAGAAAACTACTACTACTTGTACTATAAAAATTGGTTTACAACTTTTGGCAGTTGCGTATGCCTTATCTAGTCTGCATTGTACGGTTGCATACTATATTGAACTTTGATATGCTACAATAACATGCTCTAGTTCCAGTTTATTTTGTTAATGTGGCAAATTGTATTATGTCAATAACATCAAGCATTAACATTTAACAATATTTTTTTATAACACTTTTATTTTTCATTTAAATAATATTACCACAGATAATATAATACTATACTACTACAGATACCGAATCTCATACAAAAAAATGTCGCAGCCGTAACTCAGTTTATTGGGACGCTTATCTTGATTCTTAACACTGATCATGAAATGGTATTAAGCAAACCCGCGATTGTAATAATATTCGAAAAGGCCAAAAGATGCCACATTTTAGTCAATGTAATTGCTCTTTTCCAGGCGTTGATTTCATATACAATAAGATATAATAAAAACGAAAGCTGAGTCTGTACTTTTAAGATTTTAATGTAAAATTCAACGCTACTCAATTTATTGCAAAGTAACAAATTAAAAAGTATATCATTGAAAAGCCTTCGATTCATCAATTATTATAATTATAACTGAATTTTAATTGAACATTCCTAAAATGTTTTGCATTTTGTTTTCTTAGATTTTATACTTCTTATTTAGTATGATATACTTCAAGTTTTCGAGATTCATATTATTACATTTTACCCAAGTGGCGACATCTGCAATTTAAATATGTATTAAAGTTGTTTAAGCTCATACCCCAGGATGTTACATTTATACACTTACCTAACCAACATTTTTGAATTCTACTAATTACTATCCTCAAAGAACACCCTCGTGATATCTGTTACCGCGATCACGAGATAATATCCCTTAGGACAGAGTCGCTTACGCAACAATTTAATTATTGTTAACCGACTTCAAAAAAGGAGGACGTTCTCAAATCGACTATTTTTTGTGTACGCGATTACTTTTACGATTTGTGTACCGATTTTGATGATTCTTTTTTTTGTTAGAAAGAGGGTACCTCGGTATTGATCTCATTTAAATTTGAAGAAAATCTCTAAGGGTGGCAACTAGGGGATGAATCCAATTTCGCGCACTTTCCGGTGACCGATTTCAATAAAACTTGGCATCATCGTCATCATCCACAGCCTAATTTCACCTTGCCTTGCTATGCGTCCCGCCCAACCCCATTTGAGTTCCATGATCCTAGTTCCAGCATACTGGGCTTTCTTAATAGATGTAATTCCACGACCTTTTGATGTCGTTTTTTTTTAATATTAAGTTACAATTATTTTTCCACAGTATTCATATATCATAATATTTTATAATGTACTTTATTGTTAAATTAGATTGTTTCTACAGGGTGCTGCGTTACGAAGATCTAGCTTTGAACGTCAACGAAACAGTGAAGGAGCTGTTCAAATTTTTAGGTTTGAACATGACGCCCTCGGTAATGAAATTCCTTAACTCGCACACTAACAAGAATGTCGGTGGCCCCAGCTCCACTTTCAGGGTGTCACGTGACGTACCTTTTAAATGGAAAACTGCCCTCGATTACAATCACGTGGAAGAAATACAGGTGAGTTTGTAAAATATTTCTTGTGCTGCTCATAAGCAGGTCAGACATCGAGTTTATAACTAGAAATAGAGACGAAATGTCATTTAATTTGTTTGAAAACTATTCTGCGTAACCATTGTTGTGACAACTGCGCTCCGATTGACCAGCTCGAATTCGAAACAATTGACGGGTGTCGTCAATTGTTTCACTATAAATTGTCCAGTTTAACTTGAGCTTTGCTATAATGGACGAAAATTTCAATTACGTATTTAATTACCGATGAAATGTGATTCCGTTTGTTTTGTAATTAGATGTTTTGCTATTTTTCCCGCCCACCGAATGAAACAGCCCCCCATAGTTAGATATATTACCTTTATTACAATAAATACAGAATATTTTTGGATTATATGGAGACGTACACACAGGTCAGTTGTTGGCGCTGTTCTATTTCAGTTAGCGATGCGCGACTTTGAATGTTACTAATACTAATCATTCGAATGGGCAAATCATTCGCCTAAGTCGGATCCAAGCACAATCATTCGACTCGAGAATGCACAATCATTCGACTCGAGTCGAGTCGAATGATTAACTACCGAATGCCCCTGCCATTCGGTCAGGTGCACGAGTCGAATGATTATTATATCGGAACACCTCATTCATCATATCCATACCACAAAATATCCCTGTCCCCGTCACATTTACAGTGTTTATCATATATCAGAGAGGGCTAGATGATCACGAGCAGAAATGCTCTATGGAATCTATGAATTAGTACTACTAATTAGTAATGAATGATCATTCAAATCATTCGAATACGAAAATTAATAGGTTACTAATTTGATATTCGAATGACAGGATTGGCGATTACTAACTAGTCGAATATCGAAATCATTCACAATCGCGCATCACTATTTTTTTTTTAAAAGTGATAAGGCCCATTTACCTGGAGAGTTGCCAAGGATGGATGGACCTTATTTCGTCTCTATTTCTGGTTACATACTCGATGAGGTGAAATAATTATCACAATTTGATTAGATCATTATTTGAATCTTATGTTATTTTGATGCCGTTTTAACCAATTAATTGTACCTAATTTCGTTATAAATATCGCATTTTTTATAGTTCCACTATAGACGTTGCTGTAACTAATTAATACTTACATTAGGTAAATTACCTTACGTCGATTAATCACGATTTATATTTTAAGTGATGTGCATAGGGTGATGTGCATAATTCGTGTGAATAACAAATAAATTAATTTCAATACATATATTTCTCATTGAATATTATTGTCACATGGACTAAATACACTTCCTTTAACTTAATTTTATATCATTTTCATATTATAATTTTGTATCATTTCACACATTATGTATAAAACTCTTTTTACGTAACAATAATTTTATCAATTATCTATTTAGATATTTTTTACGAGATGTTTACGTGTATCTATAGTCTGTTCCAATCCATTTTGAACTAAAAGTAAACAAACTTGTTTGGTTAAAATTCTAAAGCAATCGCTCAATAAATCGAATAAGTAACACTTTCACGTATATTTAGAAGATTTCAACTTAATATATCATCACTTTTTCCAACAATATTCATTTGAATAGCATCATAAAATCGAATTTGAAAAATGGTAGTCCAAAAGTGAGGTTATTATTCATTTATACTTCTGTGACTTGCCTATGGTTGCATAGTGCTGTTCGAAAAAAGACATTCGGTTCAATCAATTAAAGTTTAGTAATCGATTATTAAATCGAACATTTCAATCGCAATCGAACGAGTATCTAAGTGTAAGGATTTGAAGGAGGATTTAAATTGAAATTTTAAATATGCTTATATAGATTATGTAATGAAAACCGCTAGTATGACTCAATTGAACAAATCGATTCATTCAATTAATTAATCGATTTGTAGTTGGCGTTACAATTGGCCATCATCATAAACCGTCTGAGGTCGGGACAGTGACTTGTTTGTTTACTTTTTGTTCAAAATGGATTGAAACGAAGTATAGAACATGTGTGTCATTCCTTAAGTAGGTTTGGTTAGTACACGAAAATGCATCCGAGTTTGTATGCGTTTCCCAACACGTTTTAGGTCAAATGTATTTCAGCTTATTATTCTATGTGTAAACGGAGGTTTATGACTTACAATTATATTATTTAAAATGAGTGTTAGGGTTAATGGTTGTTATCAAAAATGAAATTATAGAATGTAAGTTTATATTAAACATTTGTTATATGTATTAAGTGAATTATTTTATGGAAAAAGTTTATATTAAGTAAAATTATATTAAATGAGCGTTAGGCTCAACTCACACTGGCGCAGAATCGAAGCGTCGCGTCGGTTTCAACTACAACGCTTGCCGATGCGCCTCGACGCGCGACGACGCTCGCATTAGTGCGCTTGGATCACAGTGTAAGTTGAGCCTCAGGTTAAAAATATTTATATAAAACGACCTTAACCGGTACGACATACACACTAAAAAGTAAATTATAATAAATTTTCAGATGACATGCAAAGAAGCAATGGATTTGTGGGGTTACGAAATGGCACATAACGCCTCACACATGAACAGCAAGTCGTTCAATCCCTTGAAGCAATACGTAATCGAAGAGTGACCTTCTAAACCTGGTGCGGATTAGTTAGTTATGTACTAATTAAAGAGCTCCTTTACATTTTTGTAGGTAAGTTAACACATTTCTGCCAGACAACCTAGTACTCGTACTATATTAATGATATTATCACATTTTATTATTACGTTCAAATTTCGAACTGAAAAAGCAAACAATTTGATTCGACCTCAATTCTAATATCAGCCGAAGTAAAGTTTTATTCGAAATTTAATGTCAAGAGCATTGACTTACAATTATATGGACGTCGGGTCTGCGCTAAAAAGTGTCCGCACTTGTAAGGCGCTAAAATCGTATACAGAGCGCCAAACTCCGCTTTAGTCTTCATTTGTTCGACTGACAGCGCCATACTGCGATGACATTACAATTTAAATTTCGAATAGGTTAACTTGGGACATTTTTTTCGTGGTTTTTGTATTAGACCCGTCGTCCATTTATTTGTAAGTCAATGGTCAAGAGTAAGTAATTTTGACAAATTCCAGACGTTCTATTCTAGTTTTTTAATGGCGGCCGCTAGACTTTTACTTGATATCGAACAATTTCATAGTTGGGGCCGACTCAAATTTGTCTATGAATGAAAAAAAAACTACGGTTGCGTGGCATGAATGAAAAAAAAAAAATATTTGCCGCCAAATTTTGCATAGAGAGCTTATAATATGTGTATAGATAAAGCAGGTTATGTAACTGTACATAATTAGGCATTAAAACACTCGTGTGATGTGAAACACACACTTGTATTTTAATGCTTTTCATTATGTAACAGTCACGTAAACTACTATTTTGTGAAATTGCTCCACTAGTTTGTTATGATTATGAATACCGTGCCTTTCGCTCTTTCAAAGTGCTTGTAGAAAAATTCGTAAGATCTGCTGGTTCATCATATAAATGTCAAAGCGAAACGCTTGTAATATTCACAACATAGGGGTGGAACTCCAGCCTACGTCTTGTCCCCCGACGTATTAAACGGTATTAAATCATGCAATTCCAATATAAAATAAATGAAAAATGTATTTTTTATTATTATTTCCAGATGTAGTTCTATTGACTTCGAACATGAGCCGATTGCAAGACTTATAGGATAGAAACGTCGAAGTGAAGAAAGCAGTCGCGCTTTACAAGTAACAGTATTACACGCACTTACAATTATCATACAAACATTGAAAGGAATGAATGAAAACACCTGATAAACTGTTCTGAACTATATTGATGACATAAATCAGTGGCAACTATTGTCGACTTAATACAGACATCCGGGGAGCGCCACATTCATACCACTCAATTGTATTTTTACAAAGACACCCATGGCACCAATTCCGTATGTGATCTTGCGTAGTGGCTATTCTAGGCTACTTAACACAGTCATCTCTTAAGGGTGTTATTTTTTATGGTTTCACCCCGGATCCAGGATAAGTTAAAAAAATAACTAGTATTAGCTTAAAATACCTAAACAACTACAACTCCCATACTGATTGATTCTTATATTAAACAAAGAAAATAAAATAATGTAATATCAATAATATATACTATCTTTGTGCTATTATGGTTAGTTCCTAATGCAAGTAATGAAAAATGTGTATTAATCAATGCATTATGATGCCATCATAAGCAAGAGAGGCTTGTTTCTCGTAGTCCCACTGCTGTAGGTAAGGTTAGGTGGGGTAAAAAAGGACATCGGGTGTAGAGGAAACTATAGCCTTAACTCATAATCTAATGAGTTTAGCACTATAGAAGATAAAACGGGCAAAGAAATTAGTTTAAACGATTTTTAGGAGATGTCGCTGCGATGATTGGAGCATCGGCGGAAAAAACAAATTTGACAGTTATGAAATCTTATGGACACTTAGTATACATTGGTTTTAAAAGAAATACGATAACTGTTCCATATACAATTTGCACATTTTCGGCAAAAACGTAAGTGTTGAATTTAGCGTAATGATGAAAATGAAAACATTTAAAGCTGATAAACAAAGGCAAGAATACTTCAAAATTCTTATGAGACATCTGTTGTTCCATTTAATTGAAAATAAAGTATGTTCTTTTTACTCCACCTGACTATGATGATAGTGTGCTTCCGATATGTGTTATACATATACTACAGCTTCGCAAAAATTATCCTCATCTAATGCGTAGAGAGAAAGCAATAGAGAAAAAGTAGTGGGACTACGAGAAATAATTCCTCCTAGTGGTCCAAGTGGGATGACATAGAAAACTATTTTGTACCACTAGTAGGACAACGAGAAAACGTTGTAAAATATTAATGAAAGCGACAGTTTATGTCTTATTTGAAATCAAATATGAGAAGTATTGTCAAACATAAGTGACATTTTGAAATAAATTCGATAAAAGGTATGATTGAAAACAAGTCATAAACTGTTCTATACCATGTCGATGCCTTACTTGCTCAAACTCGTATCTTATAAAGAGTGATTATTCAGGTGATGGCAAAATTTTCGATTTATTTTACATATATTGTCACTGATGTTAATTTGGATACATTACCTTGAGAATAGGTAAAAGCCCGTGTGTGAATATGAAGGAAACGTGAAGTTAAATCAGCCTGCAAAAATTGTATATGCAATCCATTTTTTGCATTTCTGTAATTTTATGCTTTAAGATACGAGTTTGAGAAAGTAAGGCGACGATATTGTATGTATAAATCATTGTACAATTCAATAAAAAGACTGCTCTTGCACAATATCGACCGGTACGTTAGATCGACTCGCGAGACCTTTGCCCTATAGGGAAGGCTCGCGTTGAGGCTGGCACGCGGTCACTGTCAGCTTCTACGACGAATGCGCGTACGGCGTCATACGTTTGAAACGCTCTTTCACAATAGTAATGTGATTTTGTTTCATAAACAGGCTTCTATATTCATGGCGAAGTGCTTTATGAAATCTCGATCATTTAACCTACCATACAACATGTTCTTGAATAATTCTAAAAACATTTCTCTATTCTTTAAGGTACGTCATCGAGTATATAACCAGAAATAGAGACGAAATGTTATTTAATTTGTTTGAAAACTATTCTGCCATATCATTACTGTGACAACTACGCTTCGATTGGCTAGCCAAAGTTCGAAACAATTGACGAGTGTCATCAATGAGTGTCGTCAACTGTTTCACTTCAAATCGACCATGTAACTTGAGCTTTGCTATAATGGACAAAAATTGCAAAATTACATATTTAATTACCGATGAAATGTAATTCCATTTGTTTTGTAAGTAGAAGTTTTGCTGTTTTTTAACCACTGAATAGAATAGCACGGCATTGTTAGAGATATTATTATTATTCAATAAATACAGAATATTTTTTGGAATATACGGAGACGTACACACAGGTCAGTAGCTGGCCTGTCTATATTTCAGTGCAAACGAGAGTTGATATTTATAAGAACTGTATCGCTAATGTGTTACCAGGAATATATGGCCCTTATTTCGTCTCTATTTCTGGTTATATACTCGATGGGGTACATACATTCTTCATGACGTTCACTAATAGAGTAAAACCCTATATTTATAGATATACATACATATATGAGATTTTATAGCGCTCGCAATAAATACTTTATTAGTATAATAAGAATAGGCATTATTTTTACAAGTCATTTTTAAATTTATTATTTAAACATTGTATTATTTTTTAGTTTTATTTTTGATATTAATTATCTTAAGATTTAAATTGTATGCGGAATTTTTACTTTATGTTAAGTATTCCAAACGTATTAGGGTCATCACCACACTCATTAACGTGGAATCGGCTTGAGCCAGTTAGAAAAGCTAAAAAGCAATAAAAGCGGAAAAAACCGCCGTTGCGAAACGCACAATGTCTTTTACGCTCTTATTACAAAGACGTAAAGCTTTTTCTCTCCTGCTTAATGCGATTTCGTGTGGATAAATGTGGTGACTCCGTTACTGTTTCAAAGACTGAATAAATTTTCCAGTTATTGAGTCTTCTTCCAAACGATTTTAAGTAGCTGTCTGCGCTTTATATCAGATTCCAACGAATAAACAAAACGAGTTAGTCGTAGTTAGTGAGCTGAGGTTGTGTATGCACAGTGTGTGTTATTATATCAAAACGTAAAAGAAGGACCATTAATATGAGAGTACTTTGCCGCTTGAACATATTTTTACACGTATGTTTTTTGTTCAAGCAGCACCGAACTCTCGCATTTATGCATTTTAATTGATAAGCTTAGCGACTTAATACTTTTAGCACTCACGGAATTGATGACATTAACGCTTCCATTGTAGGAGCTCTAATGTATTTTAATTTATAATAAATGTGTCAATTTAAAGGGTAAAGGCACCTTATGGCGAAGTTTAGAATCACTTCATTCATTCTTCCACTAAAATGTGTAACAAGTTTTAGGTGCTCTTCGGTGGTGGTTTAGGTATTGAGTATTTGTAGGTACTTTTCAGTGAGACGCTGATGATGAGGTTAGAAACCAGAATGAGTTTGTCGTTGCAAATGCAGCTATATTTATAATATAATCTAATAGCTCTGAATAGTATACTAAAAGTGTTGAATACACAATCAACCAATCAGAAGGCCTACACTATTTGCAAGAGCGAGACAGCTATATTGCTAGTATCTTTATACGCAGCCCGTGGACTTGCCGCGAACAAGAATAAAATGATCGCGGCGAGCAAAGTAATTTATGCGTCTGCAAAGTAAATGTTCCAAAAAGTAAGGTACCTTTACCAGCGCACTGACACGGATCAACGATCACTACAAGCCTCTGGGAAACTCATTTTTAAAGCATTCTAGAGCTTGGTAGGAGTGAACCTTGTGACGTGATATCACACATGATTCAATTTCGCGAATTAATGTGTTGTAATTACTCACGCGTCTAGTCTAAAATAGTGCATCAGCACTCAATAAATAATTGAATGATTTTCTAATTAATGGCGGGGTTGAAAAATTAATAAACACGTCACATCTACAACACAAATTCAACTATAAAGAAGACACTTTTTTTTGGTACAGACTATTTAAAAAATCCTATACAACACCAAACTGAACACCTTAACGAAATAATATACATACGTAATAAGTACAACCGATGCCCTATGTTACCTGACCCCATAACGGACCATTTGATTCTGTATAGATAAAAAGAAAAGTGTAACTTTTAACCTGTGAGCTGTAAAATTCATTTTGGTATGATTTCTTTATTGCATTATTAGTGAACGATGGTTTAAGGCCACTGTTTCAAGCCAATTTCATCTTTAACGTACTTACATCTACCTAAATACAGAAGACAAAGATCATGGCCCACTAAAGTGTAAAAACTATACCCATATGAACAGAAATAAAATATGGCAAGAATTATAGAATAATATGTTTACTTTACAATGGTATGTGGCGCTTTGTTGTAGTTACTGGGATTTTTATTATTCCATGTGTAAAATATTTGTGTTTTGTATTCATTATTGGTCACCCAGAGAACGATTTCGGTTTTATTCCTACTACAACTGACCGCGCAGGGATCGCACACGAGCATGATGATATTTATTTTGATAGAAAGTCTTAACGATTTGTCACACCTAATTAAGGTTTTCACACAACTAAAAATATGTTAAATATCAAATCTTTATTGCACTGTTATACGTTAACCACGTAGATTTTCATTATTTTTTTTTTTACATACAATAAAAAGTGGTTTATGACTGCATAATATAAAACTAATGCGGTTTTTGTACGCTAACATTTATTAACCGAATCAAGCCTTTTACTGTTGTTCTCCGCTCAACATCCGTCCGAAACACTTACTGTCAAATAAGTATTATTCGACCAAATTAAAAAACAATGTTGCAACAATGCTTCATTCGCATCACGCGTCTTTTAATTTGGTCGGGTATTAATTATTTGGCAGTAATTGTTTCGGACGGAGAACGAGGGTAGACCTTCAGATTATAGGCCATGAGCTTTCAACCATAAACGCGTACGAAGGCTCTCAGAACCAAAACCTCGGGTTATTAAGATACCCATCTTAGGGCATCGACTGTACGTTCCTAATGATAATTGTCAAGTTATCTGATTCCATAACATTTTTACAGAATTACATAAAGTAAAGTTAGATGGAGGATATTATCCGTCCATGAGATAAATACGACCCTCTACGAACTATCAAGGCCCAAAATGATAATAGATTATGAAATTATAGAACTAATCGAATTGTAACGATCAATGTATAAATTTGTACCTACTTTATTTAGCGCAATAAAATAAACGCAGACACGCTAGATATCGTGATCTAATTGTTATTTCACCTCATTGTCACGGGGTAAGCAAGGTAATTATAACAACTTGAGAACAGTAAGTTAATTAAACCAAATCGATTTCAATACGAAAAACGAAATCGCTAGATGTGGCTGCTTTTTAACCTATCAATATATGTATTCGAAATTTTACAGTAAACTAGTCAATTGGCTTTTAACTAATTTTGTGAACG